TCTTGACATTGGAGAAGCCGCGACACGTTAAAAGCCGGGCTTTTGGCACACGGAGCTCGAGGGTCTTAAAAACAATAATAAATGCCTGAATTTCATTTAAATTGTTTCTGATCCACTTGCTCTTGCAAAGTTAGCTCAGTGCAGAGCTCCGAGGTCTGCAGCCCTCTCCCTGTGCATGAGATCCAAGCAGGGGAGACTTCTGGTGAGAAAAGTGCGTGGTTCTATTGGGCTTCCCACAGATGCAGCCAGATCCCTATGGAAATGCCTATGGAAATAGCGCTGGGACCTCATCTGGGACCTCATCACAGCCCCCGAGGCACAAGGCCACCCCCTGATGTAACGGGACCCAACACTGCAAGGGTGGCTCTTGCCCGCAGGACCTTCCCCTGCCTTCCAGACGGGCTCCTGCTTGCAGCGGTCAGGAGACCTTTGAGTCCGCTTTGGAAAACACAGGGCCTTGGAAAGCAAACAGGCAGAGGGAGCCTTTCCCAACGCGAGGAAGGCAGCTCGCAGAAGCGCCCGGCACCCTCGGCCCGCGCGGACCCTTGGACCGCACGAGGCACGTGCCTCGCGCTTTGGCACCGCGTTTATCGCCCCATGTGTACCCAGCGGGGCCGGGCCCGTCGCCCGCAGCCCCGGTGTTTACGCACCGTCCTGCTGACGTCCGCGGGGCCGGGACAGGGCCTGCAACACTGCCCCCGCTCCCAGAGACCCAAGATTAAGCTGTAGGGGGACATTTTAGCTTCACTGAACCTCATGATGTGGGGACATGACGTGACACGGCTTCCCACAAAATATCTCCACCTCAACGTGGCCTCCTTCCTACTGGCTGGTGTTTTCAGACCTTCCATGCAAGGAGTCATCCCAAATTCACCAGTGAGAAACCAGTCATGGTTCTAGCAGCTACGCTCAATAGTGACTGTTTATTTTCCATATCTACTACCTTTGCAACGCAGCTGCTCCCACGGGTGCAAGCCATGGCCCTGACAGAGCCATCCCAGGCAACATAGGACGTCCGCAGCCAGGAGGCCTCCTGGCAGGGCTGACAGGCAGGAATCAGCCTGATAGCCCCGTGCTTTTTGGTGCCTCTCTGGCATTTGAAATACACTTCTCCGCTAGGTGTCACCACCAGTTAATTTTCAGAACCCATCATCCCAAAAACGGGACGGGTTCAGGCACAGGGATCGCGGATAACGGGGCGAGGGACCAACGCGTGCCAGCCAAGGCACCGAGCTGGCCAGGGCCCTCCCGCTGGCCACGGCTTTTCAAACCGAGGAGGGCTGGTGGGTGCCAGAAGAGGAGGAGCGGGGGAAAGGGGACAACTACATCCCGTAAATACCTAAGTCTTCCCAGAAACACTTTGTTTACTCTCAATCCAAAAGCCAAAACCTATCGCTCCAGGGGTGCCCAGACCTGGAGCAGATCTTGGGACACTCTCCACTTACCTTGCACCGCTCTGCAGCACAGCCCTCGAGGGCAGGCCGCAACGCTGGCACCGATGGTGCAAGCCCCTTCGCCGCAGCGGCTGATCTCACCACGTGTGATAGCAGGTACTTCATGCAGGGGATGAATATTGCTGTATAACCAGGAATGTTGCTGTTTTCTGAGTGCTTGCAGGCCGAAAACTGACTGCGCGTGAGCCCTGGGACAAGGACAGTTGGAAAATGCCCTATTTGGTGCTTGGGACATCATGCTGAAGCACCACCAACGAAAACGTTGCAGCTACAAGAAGGGACCTCGGGCACCCTTTGGATTTACCCCATGGCATCGGCTCCGTAAACCCTTACATGGCCAAAGATGCGGTTCCCCTTTGTCACCGAACCCTGTACATTAAGTTGTAACACAGGGAACTTTTTCCCCTTTCAGTTAAAACTAGAAGAGGCACCCAGGGCTCATCCAGTGCAGCGGGATTTCTGCCCCACTGCAGGGAATTGCACCGGAGAGCCTCGGCACCTGCCGGGCGTTTGGCCATCACGGGGCAGACCTGTGGCCCAGCTGGCTGCCGTCCTTTAACCGGATTCCACGGCATCCCGGCGGGAATCCTTGGAAGCTGGAGCAAAACATCTCCTTGTTGACAAGGGACAAAGTCTGGGGACAGTTTTCCTGCAAAGCAACCACCGTCCCCATGCTCTGAATCAACAAAAGAAAAAGAAAATATTCAAAAGTGTAAACTCTGTAGACAGGATATGGGTGAGAAAATATTTATCTAGGCAAAAGGTCCATCAGCCCCGCTCTCAGGTATGCAAACAGTTAAAAGCAGTTAAAAATCACTTAAAAATCTGCCCTGGAGCAGAAGCTTAGTGTTTTTTTTCAGGGAGGGAGAGGAGATACCTTTCCATATACATAGCAATGAAAACACCCAAGTCATGAACAGTTGTAAAAATCTCTTTCTTAGGCTGGGACCTGCCCAAATCACTGCTTTCAACTCTGCCAGTCTGCAAGTTTTAGATATGTGTCTGGAAAATCATCTATCTCTGTTGCTTAGGGGAAAAAAAAAAAAAAGGAAGCAGCATTGAGAGGGGAACAACATAAAGTGCTTAAGAAAAACAAGAATAAATATTAGAAGAGGTTGGCTGGTAGTATTTTGTTTTTTTACCACACGTTCATTAAAAATTGCAAGCATTTAGCAATCAATAGCCAAAGAGGGGCCACTCCAGGGGTTGACCTCAGTACACATTTAATTCCCACCGGATTCAGTGGATCTCGAACTCGCACGTAGAGCGTTTTTCCCACCTCAACAAAAACATGACGCGTTAGCTTAATATAATGGGAACAGTGGGTGCGCGTGAGCTGCTTTTTTGTTTTTCCTTCTGTGAACCCCTAGCGTGGGCAGGAGCTGCGGCCCCGGCTTTTCCCGAGGGCACAGGAGCAGGAAGGGGAGTGGGAGGAGGGATTTGCATCCATGCCGATGGCTCCAAACTGGAGAGGCAACCACCCCGTGCCGGCTCTAGCGCCTTCTGCAGACCTGGCCTAAAGGACCGAACTACTTCCAAGGAGGAAAGGCCACAAAATCTCATTGAAATGGCCCCTTTCCCGGGCAGTGCGAGTGAAGAGTGAGGAAGCGAGGGGGAAGAGTGCAGTAAGTAGCTCCGGGCTCACCAAAATCCGAGGGACCAACCCTTTAAACTGCATTTACACCAGCGACCACAGTATTAACACTTCCATGGCTCCGCCTGCATCCCTCAGGATCCAACAGCTACACAGAGCCTCCATGGATGTGTTGGAGCTGCCGCTACGGCCCCGAAACCTCCATCCCGAACCCAGTGCAGGTCAAGCGGCTGGAGCCGAGCTGAGTCCCTGCTTCCCGGGGAGGGAAGGTCAGCACAGCTCATGGATCTGGGATCTGGGGCGCTCCACGGCCTGGGCACGGCCGCATCTTTGACTGGGGTGCCAAGACCCCGGAAATGCCGACCGTGCCACTTGAACAGATGCACGCTGACATTTCCCTGGGAAAATCCAGGGAAAAAGAAGGTCTGACATGCTGCAGGGTTGCACATTTGTGCCAAAACTCCCACTCTGCATCTTCGCTATTTTAGAGTAATAGCAAACAATGGAAGATTTGAACAGTTTATGTCAAAATTAAAAAAAGAAAAAAAAAGTTCTTGGAAAAGTGCAGATGGGGCAAGTTGGTCTCTAGAGGAGGAGAGCAAGAGCCTGTGTGTCTAGGAGGTCTTTACAAAAACGGGCACCTCGTCGAGGCTGGCGGAGTAGTTCCTGAGGACGGTGCCTCCGTCAAACACGCGGGCCGTGCTGGTGTCCGTCCAGAGGTAGCCGTCCCCCGGCAGGTAGATGTCCCTCTGCGTTTGCCCTTGCTCGGTTATGGGGGCCACCAGGACCTGCGGTGAAGAGCAGAGGCAGCTGCGCTGAAGGGCAGAGGCACCGGAGGCAACGGCAGCCGCCCCATGGCAGCCGCCCCACG